ACACGCTGTGTTTTAGATGACAGGTATCATAGCCGTGTTAATGTTAGCTAAAAGTAAACCAATATCTAAATGGTCTTTTGAAATGCTATTCCAAAGTGTGTTCCTAATAAAGTTCAACAGCTATTACCAAATGTAGATCTAACTGTCTACACATTTCATTAACTTTTCTTCGATAGGGCGTCACCGATGTACTGTGCGAGGCTTGTGATCTGCTGGGATGGAAGAGTCCAACAAAGATTCAAATTGAAGCTATTCCAGTGGCACTGCAAGGTAAGACATCTCAAATAGTCGTATTCGATTTTTTTTCTCAAACAACTCTGCTCAACTCAACTGTATTTATAGACCACTTCGTGTATTTATGTTTATCAATGCGTCATTATAGTTAACAATGCCATGAAAGACTTGTGGGTATTGTGTTGATATATGCATATATATATTTTTTTAATTCTCCTTTTCTTGGTGTGAAGGCAAGGATGTCATTGGCTTGGCTGAGACTGGTTCAGGAAAGACGGGCGCCTTTGCTCTGCCCATCCTCCAGTCACTGCTGGCCTCACCCCAGAGGCTTCATACCCTCGTCCTCACTCCCACCAGAGAATTGGCCTTTCAGATCTCTGAGCAGTTTGAAGCCCTGGGTTCAAGCATTGGCGTCAAGTGTGGTGGGTGTCCTGTAAAAGGCGCAAGGCGCACGACAGCGTAGACAATGAATCTGTCTTAAAACCGTGTTCTTGTTGCAGCTGTCATAGTTGGAGGCATTGACATGATGTCTCAGTCTTTGGTTTTGGCCAAGAAACCCCACATTGTCATCGGTAAGAACTTTGATTCTTTCAATTTCGGTCCATGTTTTATGTCAAAATGAAAAGAATGAAGCCACATAGCACGGAGACTCACTTCATTTGCTTTTGTGGGTGTTAAAAAAAAAGGGGCGGGCTCTGGGCCCTTAGACTTTGAGTTTGACATTTGTGTTGTGGAATTCTTTTTTTTTTTTTTTTTACATTTGTGTCAACGACGAATACACACGTTTTTGCAGCCACGCCTGGTCGACTGATGGATCACTTGGAAAACACTAAGGGCTTCAACTTGCGAGCGTTGAAGTTCCTCGTCATGGATGAAGCGGACCGAATCCTCAACATGGACTTTGAGACAGAAGTGGGTCATTAAACTTCTCCCCTCAGCAGAATTTGTTGTTGCTCAACAGCTACGCAAATACAGCTTTCGTTCAGATTTCCGTTTAAGTGTTTCATCGAGAGGCCCACGATGACATGACGATGACATTCTTTCCACCAGGTGGATAAAATATTGAAAGTGATTCCCAGGGATCGGCGCACCTTCCTTTTCTCTGCAACCATGACCAAGAAGGTATTTACACATCTGGGGTCATTTGAAATGTTCTGTAAAGCCCTTTGTGAAAGCTGCTGCTGTTGTGAAAGCGCTACAGACGTAAAGATGTATCGTATTGTTGGCTCGTTTTACGCCGTAACTCACATTGACCATCCTTTGGATTGCCTCCAGGTCCAGAAACTACAGAGGGCCGCACTGAAAGACCCGGTCAAGTGTGCCGTTTCCACCAAATACTCGACAGTCGATAAACTGCAGCAGTATTACATCTTCATACCAGCCAAGTACAAGGTGGCACACTTAGTTTGTGTAACATGTGCTGGTTTTCTGGAAATTAAAGATGACTTGTTTAGTTTTTACCAACTGACATAGCTGTGCTTTGTGTGGGTGTGTGGCAGGACTGTTATCTGGTGTCGATCCTGAACGAGCTGGCAGGCAACTCCTTCATTATTTTCTGCAGCACCTGCAACTGTGCACAGCGGGTGGCGCTGTTGTTGAGGAACCTTGGCATCACTGCCATCCCTCTTCACGGTCAGATGAGTCAGGTAGGCTGTCTGAGCGGCTTTTCCAAACCGTAGTCGACATGCATTTGTCATTACAGCCATTAAAATAAAATGTGTAATTTGCTTCAACAGCTGAGGTTTTCTACAACTTAAAAAAATAATTGGCAATGGAGTCTTTTTGTGTATTAGTTCAAAAATATTCAGAAATGGGACTATTACCAATTCTAACAATGAGTAGTTGGACATCTGCTTTCAAAAGTGTCGAGAAGGTCAAACTAGGTTTACCTGTGAAGGTTGTGGTGCATTTTAGGTCTCCCCTCAAGTTTCAGCCGAAAAGCCTCACGTACCTAACGATTGTAAGTCGTGTATTTTTGCTCAATTCCATTGTGCTTATTGGGTAAAAGTGAAAACACAAACAAATATTGGCTCCAAATATTGGTTATCGGCCTTCTTGACTACTAATAATCGGGATTGGCCTTTAAGAAGAAGAAAAAAAAAAAATCAGCTATCACTTCTAAACAGTCCATTCAGCATTTCATCCACTACTTCGATTGCGTTGTGCACAAACCAATGCAAAACACACTCGTGCATTCTGATGATGTTTGTGTTCTCTTCTCGGTCCGATGGCACCATCTGTTCATGTGCAGTATTTTTAAGACCTCGTTCTTTTCAGAATAAACGTCTGGGGTCGCTAAATAAGTTCAAAGCCAAGTCGCGCTCAGTGCTGCTGGCAACCGATGTGGCATCCCGAGGGCTCGACATTCCGCATGTCGATTGTGTCATCAACTACGACATCCCCACACACTCCAAGGTAACGTGACGCCGTCGGTCTGTAGTTCAACATGTCATGAGTTTCGGCAGATGTTTGCTGATTCTTGCATGCGTCGACCCACGCAGGACTACATCCACAGAGTCGGGAGGACAGCCAGAGCAGGACGATCGGGAAAGTCAATCACGTTTGTCACCCAGTAAGCACCTCCTGTTAGCCTCACCAGCAGCCCTCTTCAACCAGAATCATTTTCCTTTTTCAACTTCCTCCTGCTGCAAATTGCCAACATGTCTCGAACCCGGAATGCGCTCCAGTGAACTGACCTTTTTGTCCCTTCAGGTATGATGTGGAGCTTTTCCAGAGAATCGAAAGCCTGATAGGAAAGAAACTTCCTGCCTTCCCCACACATGAGGAGGAGGTGATGATGTTGGCAGAGAGGGTCAGCGAGGCCCAGCGTTTTGCCAGGCTGGTGAGTCAGCGTTGTTGCGTCATCTCAAAATGCATTTCATTTTAGATTTGGAAGATAATAAAGGCGCCGTTTTCAGTAGTCTGACTAATGTGTTGCCCCTGTCATGAAGCTAAAGAAGGTTAAGATTAGAAACGCCTCTGGTGTGATGCAGTGCAGTTAAGCAAAGCAAACGACACATAGCCAACGCAACGTTCAATAAATTCCTCTTGGACCCTTTTTTTTTTTTGGGGCCGGGAAGACGGAGAACACCAAGAAAGTGATCCAATACCTGGCCCACGTTGCCTCCTCACACAAAGGACGCAAAGACCACAACATTCCAGTAAGAGCCCCACTCTGACTTGAGCGTTAGCCAAGCTTTCTTCCGCCGTCATCCATCCTCTCTCTTTAACCTCAAAATGGAAACGCTCATGCTGACTCGATTATTACACTGGAGTCAAACGCATAGTTTGCCGACCAGGAGTCCCACGCTAATCAACAGCTAACTTCATAGGTTTGTGTGTAGCTTGTTCCTGCCCCCCCCCCCCCCCCCCTAATGTGTTGCCCCTGTCATGAAGCTAAAGAAGGTTAAGATTAGAAACGCCTCTGGTGTGATGCAGTGCAGTTAAGCAAAGCAAACGACACATAGCCAACGCAACGTTCAATAAATCCTCTTGGACCCTTTTTTTTTTTTCCAGCTCTGTGTGAATAAAATAAAGGAATTTAGAATGTGACACTTTGATTGTGTTCCTTCAGGAAATGAAGGAACAAGGTGAGAAAAGGAAAAGACCCAAAGACCGAACTGGAGATGAAGATGACACAGAGCAAGCAAGCGGCGTGAGGAAGAAGGTGAAAGGAGGCTCGGGAGCAGGACGAGGCGGCGGGAAGAGGAGGGGCGGACCTGCCCGAAGAGGCGGACGCTGAGGCACTCTGGCTTAAATACAGACTGGACATAACCACATCATGAAACATCTTGTTTTTCATGCCAGAACTGGATTATGACGACACCAAGTTTTCGTGGGTGGGTGGGGCGGGGTGAGGGATGGGGGGGGGGTGTATATGACTTTCATTACATAGAAAAGTCATTGCATTTTTCCATTTATAGTAAAATTCATCCTGTTGAAGCTTTGATCAAGAAATGTCTCTTTTCAGACCCAAGAGCGAGCTGATACTCTCAATCAACTTAATAGTGTGGCGCAGGGGATCCTCGGTTTACAACATTTCGATGTTACGAATGGACGCGGCACCAGAACGCACGTTAAGTAACCACTGTTTAAATTTAAAAAAAAAAGATACAAATAAGACATCAAAACCAGAAAAGAGTCTCAAGCAGAATAATAGCAGTGTGTCAGACTAAACGGCCCAGTTTTAGGATGAGTAAATGTGGGAGTAAATTGAAATGAGATTATTATTTCACTATATACACTATTTGTGTCATTTTTGTTTGGTGGTGCACCATGAGAGTTTTCCTACGCAAAATATGTGCCCTAGCTCAAGACAGGTTGGGAAACACTGATGTATTGTAGCGTTCATAAAAGCTCCACAAGATTTCAATCAATCACATCAAGATCTCAACTTCTGTAGTGAAGTGTATTTGGACAAAGTAAGCGGGAGAAAGTACAGCTCACTGTTTTCCAATGTGGGGAGTGAGACTAAAAAGTAGTCAGAATAGTACTCGAGTCAAGTAAAGATACGTGAAAAGTACAGTAGCGAATTATTTGGACTTTGTTACTTCCCACGACTGGTACTTTTTCAAATTTTACTCAAGTACTGCAGTTGAATCAGTACTCCTTTTACCACAATCTCTCTCTCTTTTTAAATCTAAGACTGTTCAACGTCAGTGCTTTTACCACTTCTGCAGAGTAGCTATTCCTCTCGAAAGTAAAAGTTGTGTCGGTCAGATCGTGACGCGCCCCTCTGCTGAAGGGGCGCGTTGTGAGTTGGGTGTCGGTTGTAGGCGGGGGCTGGGGCGGTCAAGTGAGTAAAGTGCAGGGTCGAGGAGGGGCCCCAGTGTCGAGGCAGCAGCCCTGCCTCTGCGGTGCATACCAGAGCCCCAACACATGCCTGTATCTCCATTGTGTGCGTGGAGCAGAACGTGACACACAGGCTGCGCATCAGTGGCTCAGCGCACTGCGTGGGGAACCGGACTCGAGCTTCTCGGAACGACACCAGGTGAGTTTCGGAGGTCACTGGCCGGATATGGATGATGATGGACGGAAGGCTGCGTTTTGGTGAGCCGGTGTTCTCGGCGTGGAGGGTGTGTTCGATGTGCTTTCCCAAACTTAGTTGGACTGGGCTCATTATTCGTGGGACGCGGGTCCAGGAGGCTGATTTGAATGCTTGTTTGTTGTTGTTGTTTTTTTCCCCCCCAGACTCTTGTTAATGAGATGAACTCGAATTAGACGACACAGCTTGCGCTATAATTAGCCTTGTAAGCTAGCGGCAGGAGTGCACTTTGGGTGAAACTAAACAAACAGGTAGCACCGTTATCACCCAATTAAGCTGTTTCCCTGTTAAAGCTAAATGTTTTATACCTTCACGCAGCACCATTATTATCCATTTGGTTAACTTCTAATTACCTTTCTAATGTTTATGTCGATTTGTTTGCATGCGTATACAAGTTTTCTGTCGCATGCTTACGGCGTGCCAGTGCGCACTCATTTTTCATACATAAGCCGTATGTCTAAAGATGACCGCCAAGTGGTGTGCGTTAAAATCGATTTTTGAAATTGCGATGGTTTGGTCGATGGGGGAGTTTTATATCTGCAGTTCACCTTCTCGTGTCCCGTCGCCGTGCGCAGAGCGGCGCAGTTACGCACAGTGCGCAAGATCGTGACACTGCGGCTCATGCGCACTCTCCATTGAAGTCTGTTGTTAACAATTTTTGAATTATTCTCCCAAATGTCATCATGTTCTGCATCAATATGCGTTTCCTGCTTCGTATTCCGGAAAACTATTTATCAGATACCACCGGACAGAAAATTAGGTACACAGTACGCTGGTACAAACTAAAGACAATGTAGTCATCGAATTCAGGAGATGTATCAAACCGTTGCTTTTACACCGTTGTTAAGTTTGGTGCAGTTATTGTTTTATAGTGATTAGTATTGTGATTGTAGTCGAGTACGCAGAGTAGTAGTTGAGAGGTTCTGGTTCAAATCTGGACCCAAGCCCTCCTATATGGCATTTGTATGTTTTTTCCAGTGCTTGGGTGAGTTTTTACAGGTTAAAATGTCCAAAACACGTGTGGCAGTTTGTCTCTTCGTATCTGGCCTGTGATTGACAGGCAACCAGTCCAGGTGATGTTTTGCTGTTAACTACAGTCAAAGTTCAACTTGTCTCTTCCAGGTGCCCACATTGCTCTCGTCAAGCCAACCCAAAATGTCCCATCGAAGCGGTCAAGAGGACCCAGAGCGATACCTGTTTGTGGATCGCGCCGTGGTTTACAACCCGGCCACGCAGGCTGACTGGACAGCCAAGAAGCTGGTTTGGGTCCCGTCAGAGCGCCATGGCTTTGAGGGGGCCAGTATCCGCGAGGAGCGCGGCGAGGAGGTGGTGGTGGAGCTGGCTGAGAATGGCAAAAAGGTGGTGATTAACAAGGATGACATCCAGAAGATGAACCCTCCCAAGTTCAGCAAGGTGGAGGACATGGCCGAGCTCACCTGCCTGAATGAGGCGTCTGTGCTGCACAACCTGAAGGACCGCTACTACTCTGGACTCATCTATGTGAGTGACCTCGTTCTCTCTCAAGGATTTTTGCATAACTGTACATTTTTCACGGGGTGATGATTGACCTGAAAACTCACCTCATATTCGGTGTTTCTTGCACACCACGGTTAACCTTTAGTCGATTATGCAATAGCGGCGATCTAATATTTATCAGTCTCTCTTTGGGGCAGGATGGGGCATTGAACTTCCCGACCACACGTGTTGCACAAGGATCGTAAGTCAATGTTGGGGTTAAAAAACATTGCTCTCCGCTTCTGGAATTCTTCTCTTTGTGGCCCGTGGGTGAAATACAGACTATATTGAAGTACTTTATACTGTACTGTGTCTTGTAAAGTCACTATCAATTGAACTGTTTTTTTTTTGATGTTCCAGATTTCTCTAATTGTGACCCATTTTATGGTTTTCATAAATAGAATATGGGTTGGTTGTCACCTGAGGGGAATATCATTCGGGGACTTCGAGGAGTGTTGAAAAATCTCAGCCAATGCACAATTCGGTCACCGTTTATTTCACCTGAAATGGAACGCCAGCTCCAGATGAAGAGAGAACGTAACATTTCATTGTGTCCAAGACTCTTCGTTTGTCAAACATGCTGCATTCATCGACGGTACACTACCACACGCTTACGCCATCGCTCATGGCTGAGTCACTGTTCTATGGAAACGGCACCGATGCAGAATGCCGGTACTAAGCAGAACTTGCAATTGTCCCCCTTTGGAGAGTGAATAGCAGAGGCGGGAAAGAACCTCTGTGTAAGGGAATGCTGGGGATTTGGTGCCTTGCTCATCACCGCTCATTATCTTGTTTTAACGGTAGCAGTGGTCATCATGCCTGGTTGGTGTACCTGTGTCTATAGTTTGGGTGTTTTCTTCGAATCCTTTCTCAACTTTTGTGCCTTTTGCCATTGTCAAACGTTTCAAAGAAGACACCCGGGGATTTATTGCACTTTCTAGCATTGTGGATTTGCATTCTTCCTCCGGCACTGGTGTGCAAAGCTTAGCATTCTCAGTCATTTATACTTTGAATCCCAGTTCCGTAGTGGATTCCACTTTCTTTTCTTCCTTTTTTTTTTAATACCAAGGTGGCTCCGTCTGTGCTTTTCATGGCTCATGTTCCGCTTGGGATCTTGTTAATTCGTATTTTGGCTGAGACAAATTGTCAACATGTGTTCTCACTAAGTGGGATTTTTTTTTTTTTTGACAAGAAGAAAGTTTCCTGGCTGAGTTGTTTGACTTACCTCCTCAGAGTGCAACGATCCATTGCAGACATGCTGTAAGGCCCCCCCTAACCCTTCCTCATGCTGAGGATTTACAATTTAGGTGATGGCTTCCATATCCGAGTCATCGCGCAGACATTTGACGCGCGCCATCATTGAGGCGCCGGTCATTGTCGTAGCATCTGGACCGAGTGACGGCACGCTTTTGATTGGGAGGATTTATTTCAACGCGGTGGTGCGTCACAAGCTAATCAGAGCTCCGCGTTGGGCTTGACCGCGCTAGCTTGGAAACAAGCAGGCCTTTATATCGCAAGATAAGCCTCAGCTGTCAGAAAGTTGGGGTACCTGTGTCTATAGTTTGGGTGTTTTCTTCGAATCCTTTCTCAACTTTTGTGCCTTTTGCCATTGTCAAACGTTTCAAAGAAGACACCCGGGGATTTATTGCACTTTCTAGCATTGTGGATTTGCATTCTTCCTCCGGCACTGGTGTGCAAAGCTTAGCATTCTCAGTCATTTATACTTTGAATCCCAGTTCCGTAGTGGATTCCACTTTCTTTTCTTCCTTTTTTTTTTAATACCAAGGTGGCTCCGTCTGTGCTTTTCATGGCTCATGTTCCGCTTGGGATCTTGTTAATTCGTATTTTGGCTGAGACAAATTGTCAACATGTGTTCTCACTAAGTGGGATTTTTTTTTTTTTTTGACAAGAAGAAAGTTTCCTGGCTGAGTTGTTTGACTTACCTCCTCAGAGTGCAACGATCCATTGCAGACATGCTGTAAGGCCCCCCCTAACCCTTCCTCATGCTGAGGATTTACAATTTAGGTGATGGCTTCCATATCCGAGTCATCGCGCAGACATTTGACGCGCGCCATCATTGAGGCGCCGGTCATTGTCGTAGCATCTGGACCGAGTGACGGCACGCTTTTGATTGGGAGGATTTATTTCAACGCGGTGGTGCGTCACAAGCTAATCAGAGCTCCGCGTTGGGCTTGACCGCGCTAGCTTGGAAACAAGCAGGCCTTTATATCGCAAGATAAGCCTCAGCTGTCAGAAAGCATCAGCATTCTTCCATGGCTAACGGATTGTCCATCCGTCTGCCGAATGTGCCTTCCTTCTGCCGTCCCCCTAAGTTCTTTTATTTTCAACTGAAACATGCATTTGTGAAAATACACATTTAGCTATCAGTCAGACCGCCTGCTCTTGAATCCAAGCTTCCCAATCAGGAAGTCGGTGACATTTTATTCCAGGCATTAAAAACTCATCGTTATGTGAAAGGCTCTGTTGTGTCTTGCGCGTCGGACGTTTATAGATGAGAGCGCCGCGAAGCGAGCAGTCAAGGTCTTCTGTCCGCCCCACAGAAGACTGGTAACATGAAGGCACCGGTGTCTGTTGTAACGCGACAGAGTGCCGTCTACTCGACAATGGAGAACGGCGTGTCCACGTCCTGTCCAGGGATGGCACATGGGCTCGGCTGTCGTGTCCGCTGTTGCCTGTGTGTTGCTCAGCTGTTACCAGGCCACAGGATCCCCTTCGCTGGATCTGATTTCACAGTGGAAATATCACCTTCCCTTTCCTGCATGGGGCTCTGCCTGATATTGAGTTATTTGTATAGTCTGCTGCTGCCAGTGACCGACCATGAAGGTTTGCCAATAGTCGCGAGCTGCTGTGGGATTTCGATCATTTTTGATCACTCCCGTTAACAACACGGCAGCTATATATTACATGCAGGAAGGTTTGCTGAGATATATGAAGGAACTCGGCGCTTGACCCCCCTACCCCATGAGTCACTGTCTGTCATGGCGGCAAATATATATGACCTCTGGAAAACGTTCAAGGAAATTTCCCGTCTCAGAATGCTATTTCTATTCGATGTACCGTATGTGGATGTTCATAGAGCGAGTGACGCATCACGTCGCTATCAAACGTGATTTGTGTTGTTACGTACGCCACCTCTGTCATTCCTCAAGATCAAAAGCTTTGTCTGGGCTTCTTGCTGTGTGTTGCGTGCGGCTGCACCACGTTACACTTCGACTGAACTGGACCTTTGGGAAAAGCCATCGGGCTCATGTCTTCGTTTCTTCCAGCCTCTCTGTGCTTCGTCAACTTCTTTCATAAGCGTTCTTCGTTTTCGTCTGCATCATTGGAACAGAACATCCACTTGTTTTTTGGGGGGTTCAGAGGCGCCGCACTGAGCGATTACCTAACGATTTCAGTATGCGATCTAGTTCCTGGATGCCTGCTCCAGAGGTCCTGTCACAGTAGACTCTAATTATGATACACACATCAGTGTGTGGCACAGCGTGACAGCTCGGTGGGCGATGAACGGCTGGCTGCCCTCTCCTCTTGCCAATGAATGTCAGGGTGTCGAAATGTAGGGAGTTAAAAAAAAAAAGGTCTTCAAATTAGGCTTCCGATCACCAAATGAAATCTTTCCAGAAACTGTTCAGTTACATTGGAACGGCTTTCACAGAGTTATTTTGTCCTTTAGGTTCCAGATGGGGACAGTACAAATCATGAAGGTTCAATTGCCTTCAGTTTGAGTGATGCTAAATATGAAGTGTTGTTAAAAGTGAAGTGTTAAGAAAAAAAAAAATCCCACTAGTTAGAACAAAAAGATGTTGACTGGCATCTGTCGGCTCTTATAACAGAACCACTCGTGAGTTGAGTGAAAAAAAAATTTTTTTTAAAGATAAGATATCCTTTATTTGTCCCACACTGGGGAAATTTACAGCGTTTAGGCATGTTTCACAGTCCATGTTCTCTTTGCAGACCTATTCGGGCCTGTTCTGTGTGGTCATCAACCCCTACAAGAACTTGCCCATCTACTCGGAGAACATCATTGAGATGTACCGGGGCAAGAAGAGGCACGAGATGCCACCTCACATCTACGCCATCTCCGAGTCGGCTTACCGCTGCATGCTTCAAGGTACGACTTTTGTGCGTCGTCGTCGACAGATTTGTTCGGACCTTCTTGCTCTGTTAACGTTAGCGAGACTTTTTGAACTGGACGTTGCTGCTGTGCGTTACTCTCCTGGCAATTTGATTTGTTGCTTTGCGCAGAACGGGTGAACGCTCATTCTAAGAAGCGGATAAAAAGTCGTGTTTTTTTTTTTTTTTTTTTTTTTTTAAGCCAAGGGTGATTTCAGAGATGTGGTCACCCCTGTGAAAGAGTTTAGTTCCCTTGCTGGCGGCGTCGGGTTTACTGCATACTCCAGGAGATTATTGTGTGGAGAAAGTGTTTAAAGTGTGTGAAAGGTCACAAGGTCAGAGAGGATATGACATTATTGATTATGTCTGAGAAGTGAAACGCATCGCGGGATCATCAACTGGATGCGTTTGTTTTTTTTTCACTGCATCCCATTAGCGTCGAGTCATTGATCATTTACTCTCTGAAGATTTCAGATGTCTTAAATGAAGCACCTAAATATCAATTTATAGTACACCTAATAATTCAACATCAAAAATATTATGGGAAGTGTGTGCTCATACAATAAAAAAAAAAAAAACTAATGTACGGCGAATGCCCTGATACTGTCCGTATGTACTCATATTTGTAAAAATGCTCCAAAAGTTCGACTACATATTGAAACCTCTCTCAGTCCCTGAACATGATGCAAGATGTTTACGCCGGTGCGGAACCACTCCTGCGCCACCATTCTACTTTGACCCGATTTTTCCCCGCGGGAGGTTTCATTCTTTTGAGCCCCACGGCGGGAGGGGCACGGTAGCCGGTGGAATGAGGTTATCACTGTCCCCTCGATGAATACCCTGCCGTGCTAAATTCTACACTCTGAGTCACGGTCAAGTTGTCTCGAGAGCAGTCCATTACCCACGACAAGTCTCCTTTGGGGAGAAGTGCATCACCATGGATACTGTAGGTGTGTGCATGTTGCGCGTGAGCGACCGAAATAACCATCCCTAGGAAACTCGGATAGATGCGCCACTTTCTGTGTGACAATGTTTTAGCAAGGTGCGAAAAAGGGGCTTTTGTGTTCCGCAATCTCCTTCCACTTGTTGACTCCAGCAACCCCTTTGTCTCGTTCTCGGGCCTTTTTTTTCCCCCCCTCATCCAAATCACATTCCTGTGACTTTACCTCCTTTTTCTGACTGAACAGCTGGTGTCTCTTTATCGCCCTTCTGTCCTCCACACTCCAGAATGGTTTCATTCCTCATTTATTCGTTTTCCGACAACAAAATCCTCTGGCTTGGAAGAGAGGAATTTCCCACATCCTTGAAGGCATTTTGGTTCCCCCTCGCTTGACATGAAAAATACAACCGCAGGTCTGCCGCAACTGTTCTAGTCACTCTGTCCTCTTGAGTCTGTATTTTCTAGCCTTTTGAGAAGAAAAAAAATAGCAGGCGTAGTCCGGAATGTCGGCTCTGTCCCTTTTAGGATATGGCAATGTTGCCGCGGTTAGGCCCCTTCGTTGGTGACAATGTCGCATGGTGAGGTCAATGCTGGCGCTCTGCCATTCCCGTACAGATCTGGTGGGACAGTATCAGTGTAGTTTGGGATAAAGGCAACCCCCCCCCCCCCACTTCTGTTACCATTGCATGCATTTTGCGACCCTCATTAAATTGTCATTGAAAAGATTTATGAATGCGCATGACTAAATTATTTCATCCAGAAAGAGGAATGAGCAGAAATGTTGAGGAATGTCAATACTCACTCCCTTCGCTGGAAAAACCCCATTAGCGGTAGTTTCGGAAGCAAGATTAAACAATTTTGGTCGAGAAGGAGGGTGCTGGATGGTGACTGGAAACGCACAGCACAAGAGACCAGGAGTTATGCAAAAGCAAGAGAGGGTAGAGTTATGGGGG